TTCACTGCATGGCAATATGTTACTCGCCATACTACGGCTACCATTCCCGCACACATCATTCTTCAACAGAGTGTCGCTTGCGGTGGTGCGTCTCAGTTCTGCGTCGGAGCAACCATGCTTACGGTCTCGATTTACATTCCTCTCTGGTTCCAAGCCATCAAGGGCGTATCGGCAATGCAGTCTGGTATCAACACCATTCCACTTGTCCTTTCGGTCGTGGTGGGCTCAATCCTGTCAGGTGGGCTGGTACAGCGTTTTGGATACTACACTCCATTCATGATCTTTGGGTCTGTCCTCATGGCCCTCGGAGTTGGTCTTATCACAACATGGAACGTGAACACCAGCAGCGGCATGTGGATTGGCTACCAGATCCTTGTGGGTTTTGGAGTTGGAAGCACCATGCAGCATCCCAACATCGCTGTCCAAACCGTTTTGCGGAAGCAAGATGTGCCAACTGGAACAGCCATTCTTTCACTATGCCAGACATTGGGTGGAGCAGTCTTTACCGCAGTCGGTCAAAACCTGTACATCAGCAAGTTCACCGATGGCCTGAGGGAGATCGGCGATCTTGAACCCCAACGCGTACTTGGTGCCGGAGCAACGGAAATTACCAAGAATGTACCGGACGATGTCAAAGTCAGAGTGCTGGAGGCCTACAATGTCGCCTTGACAAAGGGAACCTTCTTCGCAGCGCTTATCATTGCTTGCTTTGCCTTGCCGGCGGCTCTGGGTATGGAATGGCGCAGCGTCAAGAATAAGCAAGAACAGCCACCAAATGCTGCACCCAATGGAGACGTGGAGAAGCAAGATTCACAAGCGCAGCCACCTCGTGGTATCTTGAAGAATTCGACCGCCCCTGAAGGACAAGACGATGCTCCTCTTGCCCCACCGGCTCCATCGTGGAGGAAGACCTTCCGAGCCAGCGGCCATTTCTCGTCGTACTTGACTGCCAAGGTCAATCCTGATCTCCGGGGTGAATTGAAAGCGCCTAAATAGAGTAATGGATGGTTTTAATGTGTAATATGCCGACTTCAGTTAGATATCCCGAAGTAGATTAGATTATTTTTCAATATATTTCCACGTGTATACGGCAAATGCCGGATCGCGTCCCACGTTTCCCCCAACAATTGTAGTACAAGAACGAAAAGATGTGGTCATCTCACGTGATATTAGGTGGTGCAACAATCTGTTTTCGCTCTCCACAAGCTGAGTCAAGATACACACACATGTCACTGTGCAGAAATGGACGCTGCGTTGCAACTCCACCAGTGCGTCCGGCATCCTACCCGAGTCTACAATCGGTTGAACCTGTAGATCCGTCAGCGCAAGCACCGAGATATGCAGTTGGGTGCGCCACGTCTTCTTGATGCAATGAAACAAGCAAGGCCTAGCTTTGGCAAAGCTTGATAAATCTACACGCAGATCAACGCCAACGACACCGTGTCGTTCTCTCAAACAACATACTCCATAAGCGAGTGATGCATGCTGCGTTGTCAACACCGAGTAAGCGACTGTTCGTATTCAATGAAGCCATGTTGGTGTGCGATGCGGCTATTGTCGTGGCCCCGAATAGAGTTCGCCAATCTAATTAGAGACCGGAACCCGCAGTGCTGGTTCGTTTTCATAGTCCGAGCGTATGATTGGCTTACACCAAGCCTCGAGGCTCTTCACGAGGATCATTACATCGCAGCAAGAAAAGTAACCTGCACTGTTCATTTGCTGCCTGCAGCACAGAACGAGATCTCCGGTATGGGACGCCTGCCGCAAATAGACATTCGCTGGCCGAGGCTCCGACTTGCCTGACCTGTGAATCTGAAAGGCGGTCGCGGCTGTTGCGCTTCCGCCATACGGGTTGTCTAGAGCGGCACCAGAAATAAGGTCCAGCCAAAAGCCTAAAGGGTGCAAGACATCCATACTGCAATCACGGTTCCCCGCAGGTGTCTCAGTCATTCCCCAGTGTGGCTGCGGTCATCGAGGTAACAATAGAGTTGGCCCCGGTGAGACTACAAGCTGACTCTCCAGGTGCAGGGGCCCGATTGGCATGTCAAAGCGGTATCGATCAGCTCGGCCTCCCAAAAGAAAGCCGGTATTGTGCCACTTTTTCCCACGTCAACAGCTACTGCGTTGAGCTACTGCGTCGGAGATTATAGAGGAGAGACGAGTACGATCCGCGGTGCGTGGGGAAAAGCGAACATGAGTGTGCACAGGCACCTCGAATATCGGTATAAGGACTGCCTCAAGGTAGCCCTCGTTGATCAAGCTTGACTCTCGAATACCTTGTCCCCCTACTCCCCTCTCTTGTATTTTTTTGTAGCGATTTAACACGTGCTTGGCACCATGGCATCTCGATCCGTTCATATTGTGTTGAGTGTCGCATGGCAAGATGCTGGAGACACCACACGCGCAATTGCCATGGCCATCGCATTGCGAGACATGTGCCCCCCTGATGTCGACCTCAAGATTGACTTTTTGTCGTGCGGTGCCCGGTTTGAGTATCAGATTACAGATGCCGGCTTTAACATTGTTGCTGCTCAGCCGCGCGTAAAAGGCATTTCGGTAGCACACGACCTTGGCTGGGACTGGCCAGAGTTCTTCGGCTCGGAGGAGATTGCCAAGTCCTTCATTGATGGTCAGCTTGCTGCTTTCAAAGAACTGAAGCCCGACATTGTGTTCCATGGCATGTGGGCTCCAGCTTCCATCGCTGCACGACTCCTCGGCATCCGCACCATCAACTTTCTACCAGTCCCTCTGCACCCTGGAGCATTCTGTCATGGTCTGATCAGGGATCTTCCTGATATGATGCCGCTCTTCACTCGCCTTCCTCGACCAGTCCGACAACGTATAGCATGGTGGGGAAGTGGCTTGATGACGAAGGCTCCCATCTTCCAGCAAAAGCGCTTGGGCGCAGCAGCCGCCGCCGCTGGATGGCCCATCTCAGGGCCCATTTCACTCTTTGACATGAACATGGCAGATCTCAACCTAGTCAATGATCATCCAATCTTCCACCAAGAGTACCTCCACCGTATACCCAAGAACATTGTTCTTACGGGTCCACTGTACGCGCGAAACGACTCCAAGCTAGACGACGATATAGCAACTCATCTAACAAAGGGACCTGGCCCATCCATTCTGGTTACCATGGGCAGTTCCGGCACAGAGGAGTTCTTGTTCGAGGCGATCAAGGCTCTTAATATGAACCCTGATGACAACTGGAATGCGGTTGTCCTGGCTTCGAAATCAATCTGCGACATTAACAAGGCAAACGAAGTCGCTAACGGGGATCCACGCCTGTTGGTGACGGACCGGTTCATCCCAGCATCTGCTGCCAACGCACTTGCTGATCTCATCGTTACCCATGGAGGACAGGGAACCGTCCAATGCGCCTTGGCTGCCGGGAAGCCTCTTGTAGGAGTTGCGCTACAGGTCGAGCAGCAGACGAACCTGGACAACGCGATGAATGCCGGTGCTGGTATCCGCGTACAGAAGCACATGTGGAAAGCGAAGAACATCCGCGCCACAATACTATCAGTCCTGAACAACCCGACTTACGGCAACAAAGCTAGGGCTTTGGCGGACACGTTGAACTCGATGGACGGTGCGAAGACAGCTGCAGAAGTCATGTGGAAGTTCATCCTGGAAGAGCATTCTGAGAAGGTGAAGTCATAGACTCCTGAGAGTCTGGAGATATGCTCTTGTGTCGTCCTTTTGTTTGTGAGGTTTCGGAGTACCGTAAATGTTCTAGAAGCGATGCGTTGGCGTTACTATGTAATTATCGATTCCCTTGCTCATCTCATCGTTGCATATTCCCACTATTCAAACTTTTTTCAATGCAGTAAGCCATTTCGTGATTGTACGTCAGAATGTGTTGAAGTTTTATGAAGTGAGACAAGTGAAAGTAACGCGATGCTGTACGGAAAGCGCAGGGGACGATCAGGTACTTGACAGCACGTGCTTCGGAGGCTTGGCGAGACTGGGTACTTACCGTCTTCCTGATTTACTGATGAGTACGTACGGAACATTGTCTAGTCCACTTCTTCTTGAACAAAAGATTTACCAATATCACTGCCCTTGAAAACTACTTTTGCGCCATTGAAGAAATTGTACATTGCTACTTGCCCCCACGCCATCCAGCACCATCAGTATATACTCACTGAAAGTATACGCAATCACACTCACATTTCCGGAGACACGTCTCTTGCCAAGTTTAATGCTAAGGAATTATCACCGAATTATCGGTGTGTCAAATACAAAAGCAAAGGTATTGGCGACTGAGTGAGAATATGACGCGTGGTTCTGAGGTACTTTATGTACACCTACGTATGAGTAGTTAGATCCTGGTGTATGTACGACAACATGCATTCGGGATAGATGAAGCCAGCCAGCCAGCCACACAACGCACGCGATGACTTTCCTCATCGAAATACCCCCATACTCTCCTGATTTTTCGACCAATGCATCCTTCAGTTGTAGATTATCTAGTCATTCCACCAGCCTATAAAACTAGAGTTGGTGTGTGTAAGTATAGTGTCATGTGTTGGCGGGGCAAGTCATGCACAACATGTAATTCCTCGATAGACGCCCATGACCCCACCACCTCACAAGACCCAGTTGCGGCACGAGCCGCATGATATGTATATGCCTCATGCGCCTTTTCCATGATCTCAAAAAGCATCTCGCCACTTTGTGATCCTCTCTACTCTCTGTTTCCATCCGATACTATCCAACCCTCAGGAGAGCGTCTCAGCCCAACGCACCCCCACCTCGGCAGCCAATCACGACCCGCTACGTCGGTCGTCTCCATCTTTCCCATCCAGCGGGGTCATCAGAACCCGTGAGGGAATGCCTGTAGCAGCCCAGCTTAGCGCTGCGCGGGTGCCCAAAAACAACGCGTCTTCTTAAATATTACAATCCCCGGCATTTTTGCGTCACTTCTCCCCACCGTGGTTACCCTTGGAAGTTTTGTGTGTGTGTGAGAGAGATCTGGCTACTTTTGTGGAATCATGTCGGAACTAGTTGTTGCTGGCCCCGCGCCCCCGCCGCCCATGACATTTCGCGAGCGGTTGACCCAGTTTAGGATTCTCGAAGAGAAGCGATGTGAGCTTATTGAGGTATGTATACCTCTCCAGTCTCTATGACCATAGCGCTTTCAGTCGTGTGCGCCATAGAGTTGTCGCTGGATACTCACCGTCAGAGCAGGAACTGCTGGACAAGCTGGAAAAGACAGAAGAACGCCTTGCGCAAACCGAACTGGATCTCGGGTCTGAACAGAATGTTAGACGAACACTGCAAGCGGAGATTGCCGAGACGACGAGAACAATGCAGGCGCAGATAGACGAGTCAAAGGCGAAAGAGGAAGCGTTAGTACAGCAACAGGCGAAGCGACCGTTCGTGATCGTCCTCATAGATGCCGATGCGGAAGGCTTTCTGGTACATAGTCCCCTTAGTATCCCCCCAAAAAACATATGGTCGCAGGTTTGTAACGTGATATATTGTATAGTTCCAAGACAAGTACATCACTCGCAAAGCCCAAGGCGGCGAATCTCTCGCCGACGAACTCAACCTCCGGATCCGAGAATACCTACGAGAACTCTTTGAAGATGCAGACTCGCTCGATATCATCGTACGGGTATATGCCAACCTCGAGGGCATGGCAAACTACCTTGTGCGGCTCGAAAAGGTGCGCAACTTGGGTCAGCTTCGTGCCTTCTCCACCGGCTTCTGTGGCAGGATAACAAGCTTCGACTGGATCGACACTGGAGTCGGCAAAGAAGGCGGAGCAGGAAGAAAAGTCAGAGGTATGCATACTCCCCTCAACACATTGCAAAGGCAACCCCCCCTAACCTCATTCCAAAGAAAACCTCTCCTTCTTCGCCCTAAACACCCATCTCCGCCACGCCATCGTCGCCTGTTCCCCCGCCGACCTGCCCGCCTCCCTCCTAACCACCATCCCCCTTGAAAAACTCACCCTGATCGAATCCCTCCCCCTCCCCCAATCCCTCACTTCCCTCCCCATCAAAACTGCAAAATTCCACTCGCTATTCCCGCCCCCCGCGCCCCCGAAAGCCGTAAAACCTGTCGTCGAACGCAGCCGCTCCGACCGCGGCCACAGCGAAGCAGACATCAGACGCGGCGACCGCGACCGAGACCGCGACCGGGACCGTGAGACCCGACGACGCGATGATAGAGGCAGCGGTGGCCCGCAACTCCAGCTCATGGAACAAGAGCATGACGGCGGCGGCTCGACGTGGCTTGTTATCCAGCCTGAGCGGAGCAAGAGCCAGGTTATCGACAGGAGGGGGGATAGGAGACGGGCGCCGAGTGAAGACGATAGTAGCAGCTTGAGTATTAGCATTGGGCCGGACAATACTGTTAGTGTTGATAGTGGGAGGAGAAGGAGGATTATGGGGTAAGGGACGTGTGGTTTCTGGGGTTTGAGGGAGAGTTGTTTGGTGGATTCGTATATGTTGGTATGTATGTAGCATGGCGTGGCTTAGCATAGCATTTAGCGTTATTTTCTCATCGAGAGCTTGGTATCATGTGCTTTGAGATGTTTTCGTCTTTGTGTTTGAAGCTGGGTGGGGGATGCTCGGAACCTCAGTGTCTGTTGGAAAGCCTTACAATCCCCCTTTTTTTCCCGATCTGTGACGAAATGTAGTGTCGAAGACTATTCAAGACCATTGCTCGAAAATGCAATGAGAAGTAGGTCTACGTTTTGCAATCAGTCTCATATCATTTTTGTCCTACATGTTATACCCATATCAACTTACAACATCCATAATCGTTGCAAACAAAAGAAAAGAAAGGAAAACCGAGAAGACAGCTTCATTCGAATCTAGGGTATAAGATGAGAGAAGCAGAGACCAAAACACAAGCACGGAAAAAGACCAGAGAAGAAAACCCGCCACATATCATGCCCCCTGTTTCCCCCCCGTTCCCCTTATTATAAGAAAAAGAGAGAGAGAAACAAACGCCGGCCCAAATTTCAATGCAATGAAAAACCCCCGGATATCATAACATGCACCTCAACAACGCCCCGTGTCCACCTTGATATGGGCAATGGGAAGAATCGCGTCGTCAATGGCGCGAAACATGATACAAAGAAAGAAAGCAGGAAAGAGGAAGAAGAAAAAAAACAAAACACATCAAGTTCGGGAATCTGACTTGGGCTGGGTCTTGGCCTTTTCCTCATGCTCTTCTACAATCGGACTTGCAGGAACTTCATCCTCATCACTCGCCTCCCTCGCCTCTTTCCACTCGGAGCTCTTGCGGCTGATTCTACCGGGTCCAACAGGGTCGCGAGGGCTGGCTAGGGGACTCGTGGGCGTGGCGCGCATGCTGCTGATACTATCAGTGCGGCCGTGACCGAGGAGTCCGCTGCGAACACTGAGGCCGTCGGCCTGCTTGTTTGCATAGTAGCTATTGCGATCGGTGGAGAGGGCAGGTGCGGTAACTCCAGAGGCCGAGTATACGCTTGCGCGCTCTGCGCTGACAAAAGCACCGACGTTGTTGGGGCGATTCGAGGGCGAGTAAATGGTTTCGGGGTTGGCGGATAGGACGCTTAGCGGGAGCGACTCGCGACTGCCACCATAATGTGACGAGGGTGCCAACGCGCGCATTGAGGCGTTGGTATCTACGGAGTTGCGGCGGCGGCGCTTCGACGAGGAGGCCAGGGTTAGGATCGAGGCGTTGTCAGTCAGAATGTTGTTGGCGGTGGCGCCTTGGTAGGAATTGGGCTGCTGCTGGGCCGCCATGTGTGGGGGTATGGCCGAGGGCGGAGGAGAGGTGGGGAACTGGTGGGAGAAGTGGACGGGTGTGGCGAGGGAGTTGTTTGCGTTATTCTGCTGCTGGACTTGGCCAATATTGAGGACGTTGGAGGGCGCGGTAGATTGTATGGTTGTCAGGGTGGTAGTGAGGGAGTGCTCTGAGCCGTGGGGTGAGGAGAATGTGCTGCCCCCATTGACAAAGTTGCTGCCGCCAGTCTCAGCCTTTGAGCGTGTCGAGTTGAGCGTCTCGGGGAGCGTTGCAACAGTGGGTGCGGTGGACTTGTTGCTCTTCTCCACGCGCTGTGGCCGCTCTGCCGCTGCCTCCTCGACCGACGTACAGCTGGCATTGGAGCGCGGGGTGGCAGCGGTGGAGACTGAGATGCTATCGCCGGGCGCATTGGCGCCAGTGGTCATGTAGCCGGACTGGGGGTAGGGGTTGTTCTTGGCCAGGGCCTTCTTGGTGGTGGTGCTCTTCTTGCCGGGGGCGTCGGACGACGAGGGCTTGAGGTTGGCAAGGCGCTTCATCCAGCCGGCAAAGGGGCGCTTGCGCGTAGTATGGCGATCTTTGGTCTTGGTCAGCATGTCTGGCATAGTCGGTGGGCAGAGAAACGGGGCAAGCAGAGCAAAAGAGAGTAATGCAGGGCGGGAGGTGGTGGTTTTATGAGGCAGCCGGGGGCAATGGCTGTGCTGGGCTAGGCGACCGTACCATGGGGCCTCGACGCTGCTTCGGCCGTCGCCATGCTGTCCACGGCCGAATATAGTAGAGCGCGGGTGGTGAGAAAGTGAAGTCGTTTGTTGGGCTGGCCCTGCGCGGGACGCGACGTTCCGTGTCGGTAGTCGAGGTGGAAGCACGTGGAAAGAGAGCGGCAGTGTGCGTTCTGTTATGCGTGTAGTATACTATATGTAGTATATGCCAGCTTTGAGCGTGTCTGTTGCGCTGACGACGCTGGGCAACGTGTCTGATATCTCGTGATTGGGTCTACGTTTGTCTCGGTCGGGGGCGGAAGGGCAAAGGCATTGGAATGGGATAGGCACTCGATATCTCCGGCTGGCTGGACCCTTTCCCCAGCGCAAGTGCCGCCCGCCGCACTGAGCAGCCCTGCCGTCCTTCACGCCTCTTCGATTGCGTATCGCATGTAGATCGTCATGACAAAACCCCGCCCAACCTCCCTTGCCCCCTACACTGTTCGCAAGGCGGCCCCGGACATGAGCCGTCACGGGTCAACAGCCAACAGGGCCATCGACCACCAGGCCTGCCCTACGTCATGATCCCCATTACTACTACCACGTCCTCTAGACATGCCATGCCGGACGCCTCAGGTCAAACCATATCGCCCCTGCCCGACGATGTAGTCGCTCAGATCAAGTCCTCCGCCGCCATAGTGTCGCTGACGGGCGTTGTGCTGGAACTAATCAAAAATTCGCTGGATGCAAAGGCCACCAGGGTTGAAGCTACTGTTGACTTTGTTCGTGGGGGGTGCATTGTCGAGGACGACGGACTCGGCATCTCGCCCCTTGAATTCTCAGACAAAGGACGGCTAGGGAAGCTATATTGTACGTCTTGGTGCTGGTCGCTGTCTTGCTAGATATTGACCACGCCAGGTACGTCCAAATACCATGCAAATGAGCCTTTACTTGGCCGAAATGGCACCTTTCTCGCCTCACTCGCTGCCATGTCCCTCTTAACCATTGCCTCGCATCATCATGAGTATCGGTCGCAGAACGCGGTCACTTTCCACCACGCTAGGGTTGTCGAGCGGCAGTTGCCGGCGTCGGCCCATCACGAGGTGCATGGCAGACATGGTACCCGTGTTACTGTGCGAAATCTATTCGGAAATATGCCAGTACGGGTGAAACAGCGGGCGGTAATCGCGGCTCAGAAAGAAGAATATGAGAAGATGTGCGAAGGGCTGAAACATGACATCGCAGGCCTCCTCCTTGGTTGGCAAGGCACTGCATCCGTGCGTGTTCGAGACGGCGACAACAAACCCATTCTCAACCTCAACACATCTGCTAGAACATACCAAAACATAGGAAAGGCCCGTTCAGCACAGCTGAGTTCCCTCCTCAACATCCTGACTCAAGCCAACTACATCGACATTGATGAGTGGTCATCCTGGGTACCAGCGTCGGCCTCGACCTCTACCGTCTCTGTCAAGGGTGCCATATCCCTTGATCCAGCCCCGAGCAAGCATGTGCAATTCATTTCTCTAGGCATACGGCCACTCTACTCTGATTCTGGACATAATGAGTTATTCGACCACGTGAATCGTCTTTTTGCACTCTCCAGTTTTGGTACTGTAGAAGAAGAAGCAGTTGTCGATGCATATGAGAAGATGCGGCGGCAGTCGGATAAGCGCTTCAAGAAAGATGGCTACACCAACCGACAGCTCAAGATACGCAAGGATGTCGATCGATATCCCATGTTCCATCTCCGTATTTCGTTGGCAGAAGCTAACGGGGTGGCCATGTCTGAAGATCAGGTCATAGAAGACGAAGCGAACTTGCAGAGTATAATGGATGTTTTGGAGGCAATGATAACGCAATGGCTGGTCGTTCACCATTTTCGGCCGCATCAATCTCGAAAAAGACGTGATGCGCCTGATACAGCTTCTAGTTTGTCGAGCGAGACTGTTGCAAGCGACTCGTCGGTATTTCCAAGACCTGCTTCTACAGGGCAGTTATCGGTGTCCAAGAACAAGTCTGCATCCACAGAGACTCGAAAAAGAAAGCGTTCGAAAGATTCGAACTCACATGAGAACTTGAAAAAACATCATCAAGCTTTTGCGACATGGTCGCGTATCAAAAGTGGAAAGTCTGAATTCTTTGATAGTCTACCCACCAGGCCAAAGTTGGGAAACCAATGTGGCGTTGAACAAAGTTCGCGTGCCGCTGTTCAGAGTCCTGGCAAAAGTCAACCTTTTCCCTCATTCGCCATGAAGCCTATCGCCCAAGGCGCATTCGGCGCACCCATGGCACAAAACATGCTTCCTTCTATGAGCGAAACTTCCAGTGCTGAAGAAAAAGAGAATGATGACAGTATACTGTGGACGGATCCTTCAACTGGAGATACTCATATTTTGAATGCTAGGACAGGTTGCGTGATGCCAAATGTGCAACCACGACCGAATACAGACCCTTCTACAAATACATTCAGGTCTGATCAAAAGTCTATAAACAAGTCGATTCGTCTACCGAGTCGAGCCTCAACAGCCACAGCAAAGCCCACGCCCTGGTTAGACAATATACTCCAGAACTGGGAAAACCCCATCTTCAAGCCCAGTGAACAGCGTATTCAACAAATCACAAACGACCAAGACAAACTCGGCAATCACCACAACCAGCTCATGCACAGTTGCTCCCATCTCACCGACAAGTCTTTTGACACAAATACTACCAGCATCTCCAGCAAACTCTCAAAGCTAGGCCTCCACACCGCCCAAGTAATCTCCCAAGTCGACAAGAAATTCATCCTCGTAAGAATGCAGCCCGCATCCCAAAGCAACGACATCCTCGTCCTCATCGACCAACACGCCGCCGACGAACGCATCCAAGTCGAATCCCTCTTCCAACAACTCTGCACTCCCTCCGCTCACACCTACTCATCCTCGCAACTCTGCCATAAACCCGGCATCGCATCGCTGAACCTCGAGAAACCCCTCAGTTTCGCCGTGTCCCCGCAAGAACAATCTCTTTTCATAACCCACGCTGCGCGTTTCGCTGCTTGGGGCATCGTATACGACGTACCACCGCCGCCCTCATCGAAACAAGGGTCTCTTGAGACGCGGAAAAAGAAGGGGAAATGTGAAGCACTACTGTTGGTTACTGCGCTTCCACCTGTAATTGCTCAACGATGTGTGGTGGATCCCAAGGTTCTGATTTCGATGCTTAGATCGACGGTTTGGGGGTATGCTGAGGGACGTGTTCATCTTCCACCTCCTGATACCCTTTCTTCCCTTTTGGAAAAAGAAGGGGATTCGACAAAAGGGGATAAGGCTTGGGTTCGCGCCTTATCAACTTGTCCCCCTGCCCTTATCAACCTAATCAATTCTCGTGCGTGTCGCTCGGCAATCATGTTTAACGACGAACTGAGTCTTGCAGAGTGTAGAGAGTTGGTTGCGAAGCTGGCAGAGTGTGTGTTCCCCTTTATGTGTGCGCATGGTAGGCCGAGTATGGTGCCGCTTGTGGGTCTGGGTGAGCGGGATGGAGAGAGAGTGGCATGTGCATTGGGAGATCACAGTGGGAGTGGAAAGAGCTTTGTGCAAGCGTGGAAGGAGTGGAAGAGATGAAGTTTATTTACACTCTGTGTATTATATATACATATTTAAGACTCCTAGTACTCGTAGACTCTTAATTTAGAAGTAGAGATTTTACCTATTTTTAGACGTCTAGTTGGTTGAGATCAAATTCAGATTCATCGTTTTGTGTGAAATATGAGATTAGAAGAAACTTGGCAGCGCAATTCTAAACTATGGTAACCGTCGTCCCATATTATTGATCTACGCCTGAAATCAACTACTTGTGTATATGCATCTTCAATCCTTCCACCTAGAAATGCATCTAGCAAACACTTGTTACCATCATCTCCCTCATTCAAAAAAAACGGCCAACAATGATTCTCAGAATTGAATTCCCCACATCTCTCTTTTATTCGAGTAAAAGATCTTATTTGTTATCAGCATTATGAAGATCATACATGTTTTGGTGTGGCCCCGTTCGTGCAAGTAACTTGACGAAATGGAAAATGTTATTTGAATATAAAAAAACACTATAATTTTCATAGTTTCATCAGAAAGCGCCAAGTGCTTAGCGTGTGGAATATAAAGGGGGATAGATGACGTGATTTCTTTGATCTGTTTGCTATATGGTTTGACTTTTTTTTCTTCTCTATTTACTATATAGCGTATCAGATTGTTTATCTCAGAAAAAAAAATAATGACAGGCTACATCCCAACCTGGGGGAATCGGGTATCAACAAAAAAGATTTGTCTATTCTATAAGCTCTACGGAGTATTGTTGTAATAGAAAATATTCCCTAGTTTTTTTGTTTTCATCAAAATCAATCACATATACCTCTTTGAGGACTCAATAAATCACCCGTCCTTTCCTTAGAGAAACCACATCTGTCTCGAGCCCAAACGCCGCCCGTGATTTTTCCCTTGACCCAACGTCTAGCAGCTCGCCAAACCTCAGTTCGATCTTCTTGACAGCATGCGGGGTAGGTGCAGATCCGAGCGAGTATCCGAGTGTCAAGTCGTCGAGGTACTTGTTCCGCGTTGTACTCATGATGGAAGAGAAGCTCGTTTCGTGGCAGATGCCATTGAGCCACAGGGCACGTAAACCTAGTAGAACGCCAAAAGCTGAGCAGGCAATGGCAATGGCATATGTCATGATGAGGTTTCGCGAGCGGTATTCGTAAATCGTGGTAAAGGTCGAATGTGTGACAAGTGTTGTGTTCGTGGCGTTTTGTGGAAGCCTGGTGAGGAGGGCCCAGTGTCAGAAAAAAAGGCAAGAAGATATACATAATCGACGTCTGGGGGAAAGAGGGTCAGGCCTTCAGACTTACCATAGCCGGTTGCTGCTGAAAAGGCTGAGTGTTTGGTTTCGAGACAGCTCTTCTATCATTCCTCCAAGGGTTCTGTTGGCGGCCAAGTCGCGGTCCTCTTGTGGAAGATCATGTAACAAGCGCCCGACTCCCGCAGAGAAAGCAGTAGATACGAAACCAATCAAAGCAGTAGACATTACTCTTGTTTGATAAGTGGAGAGGCCAGAGGAACCGCTATCATCCTGGTGGGCCTGTGGCCCGCTTGCCCAAGCGCCTATCGCGCCATTTAGTATTGTCGCTAGTGCACGCGAGATTGCCTTGAATGATCCATTTCCCCAATCGCTCTTTTGAAGCCACTCAAAATGTAACTCAGCAAGGGTTTGTGTGTTGCCTACGGCTCGAAAATCGAGGTCAAAATGGGTGTCGTATAGTGTGCACGAAATAGATTCGTCGCCGACTCGTACCGAAATTGCCGGATCATAGCTTTCACCGCATGAGGGACCAGGTCGATCCGACAGCACACACTCGTCTACAAAGTCTTGTAGGTTGAGTAGCGGGCTACTGGTACTAGTATCCTGCCTCGTGTAAGCCAGATACATAACTTGGCCGCCTGCGCTCGCTTGAAGGCGCTCGAAAGTTGTGTTCCAAATATTATTGACGTCCTCCAATCTTTGTCCTGTCGCAGGCTCGCATTTCAATGATGGTCCCAGGAACTCATGATGGTATGTTGTGTTTGCAGCGATAGCTTGCAGGGGAAGAATTTGCATGTTGGACAGCGTGGCAAATGTAAGACGTGTCAATAAGGGAGAGGAGCCGTCGCCAAGTCCTGAGAAGGTGTAAAGTGACGAGTCATTGAAGTTGAGTGTCGGTACATGCATCATGGTCGTATTCTCTCGTATAGAAGGGGCAACAGTCAGTGTTGATGGTGTAATCAAAGCTGCAAGCGGAAGGAACCTGAAACAGTCAGTGACGTTCAACTACCCCAACAGTGAGCATAGGTACCAGATTATGAAAGCCATTAGTGATAAGATCTTTGCCTTTAGTAGCAGGCTTGGATTCAAAAAGGCTAGGATGTCGTATGTGGCCGCAAACATGGCATCGATGGTAGAAATAGGATTGGCTCGTGCCCGCAGGTTGATCCATATGTGCTGTTTGTATGCTACAACGACTGCGCTTGTAAGCAGAGCCTTTGAAAGAAAGGCAAAAGCTGTGCCATATCGAATAATCCAAATTTGGGTAAGGTATTGTGATCCTTCATCTGGGTTTTGCACCGCTGAACCGTCAAGGTAGGAATAGAAAAGATGGTGTCCGACTGAGACGAGAATACCAGAAGCAAATGGGACTAGCATAGAGAACGGAGTGCGAAGGGAAATGTGCCATTGCACCGGGTTTTCCTCAGTATCCGGCGGGCTGGGTGGGGACTCTGTATTCTTCGCAACCATCGACTTCGGGATTGCAGTATATGAAACCCCGTCTTGCAGAGACATGGTGGCTTCGAAACGATATGGTTTATTTTTGAGAAGAATGAGAGAGCGACAAGGTGTTGTGACTTGACAACGTGCAAATAGACCGTGGATTAATACGTATATTTTGGAAGCATGGCTAACTGATAAGGGTGCGATGCCCGCAAGGCTGAATCGACATATAATCTGTTGCTGCTATATTAAGAACTTTTCCGTGCGATTGTCCAACAAATACTTGATATCGCAAAGCTACCTGCAGCCACTGTTTTATGTACTGAGGTCGGGTAAGGCCGACTGCGAGGCGGAGAATTGGGAACCATTGAGCACCCAATGGGTAGCAAGAGAAACGGATCATATCGCTAACATCTGCCATATTAGTAAAACGCCACAACGCTAGCATGCGACCATGTGAGGGCCATTTCGGTTCCACCTCGTTTTATGGTTAGTTATGTCCGATCAGGGCTCTGTGTTACAACACTCTGAACTGGAGGCCGACCCCGGGGATCCATCGGGTACTCCTCGGGCCAATGAAGCCAAAGTCACGTGCATAAAGTATGTAGTCTCATCCGAACTTTAGGTAGCACCGTAAGAATTCGTTTTAGTTCACTCTTACTGATATATTTTATGCCTATCTGCCAAACACACACAGATCTGTCGCATAAAACACTAGGGCAAGATCACCACACGAGTTTTCCGCCATATCACGACATGTCAGGGGCAAAAGTGAAGTGAAATTACATTGTTCATTGATGGTATATATTACATCATAGAGAAAAGGCTAATTTTCCGCTTCTTTCCGCTAAGAAAACTCATGTCATCTGCGTCCTGTCTGCCCAATCAAGCTGCAGACGGAGCAGAATCCCTAAACACCTTGTGCCCTTTTTACGGGGAACATTATGAGGCGCTTAGTCGAAGGGGTTGGTGCGGGTACCCCAGTAGGTGAGGAACATGCTGAGGCCAACAGTCTCGAGGACGCGGGCAACGGCACCAATGGCAATCGTGTCCATGGGTCGCTTCTCAGTGACGACTTGGGAGACAATCTGCATGCATGTTAGCCAATGTATCCTTGCAGGTACCGTGTCACCCGATGACTTACCGATGGGGCAGCAGAAGCAAAGAAGATCAAAGAACCAAGGTAGGCAGCTCCCTTGTAGGTGAGGGTGCCGGTAGCGTTGATGAGAGCACCAACACCGTAGGCCTGGATACCGGAGCCGAGGATGGAGCTTCCCCATGAAGCGGCGGCGGTGGCGGCCTCCTTGGAGTGGAAGTACTCCTCCTTGGAGTTTGCTTGCTGGGCGCGACGGTAGGCATCACCGAAGATGGGGCCGAGGACTGCAAGAGAGACGGCGTGGTTGAAGGCAGTGCCGAGGGCAATGGCCGAAGGCTTGACGGGAGGGAGGTCTGTCAAGGAGAAGGAGTCAGTGAGGGGTTCTCATTGCAATTCAACCTGACATGACACCATGGGTATGCCCAATGCCATATGGAGGTGGTTGCAAAGGCAGCGCTTACAGTGAAGGGAGGCCATTGTGTTGATGGTAGGGGTCTGAAGATGAGGGAGTTTGTGTATGGGAACTGGAGTGAAGTGTCGATGAAGGGCACTCTTCGATGGAGTGCAAGCTTCTTTTTGTACTCACGATGTTTGCAGCTGACATGCCAATGACGTATCTGCCAAGGCCCCACTCATTGCGAGCAATTGGACCCAGAACCTGCCCCCAGCCCGCGCGTTGTCGCCAATTGACGCATGCGCATCCACTTTGCGCGGGTCTGGACTGGAGCGCCACTGATTAGTCGAGCAAATGGACTTGTTTAGCATGCTCGAGGGAAAAGCGCGGAAAAGGTGACGGCTGGGCGTGGACGTGCGGTGCATTGTGCATTGTTGCAGTTGCAGCGGTTTGTTGTTGATGCGGACGCGGGCGATCAGGTACGTCACAGGTCGATAGGCGGGGAACCGGCCGACAGCACATGAACAGGGGAGCTCGGGCCCACCCCTACCCCGTCTTTTACCTCTTCTGCCCGCTGCCCGCTGCCCACCTGCGCTTCCACCCCAAAAGTAGATTGCGGCTATATGCCTTGGAACAGGCATAGCGCTCCAATCCCCCCTCGCCCCCGTGTCCCAAACATACACCTTGCCTTTGGCCGCATCTGGCCACAACACAATGGAATCCCGCGCCAGTCCACGTCGTTGGCGACTCTCGTTCCTTGCTTTGTCCCATACATACGACTACATCTACTAGTCTGCATATCCTCGCGCCCCTCCCTCTGCGCTACTACCACCCAGCGGCCATGTTGATAACAAACAAGGCATATGGCCTCGTCCTGCTGCTGCTGCTCGGCACTAGTCTTCTGCTCTTCTCGCGCACCGTGGGACACTCGCTCGCAGAGTCTTTCTTTGGGCCTCATGCACCCGTTGTACCATACACCACGCATCTCGTCCTGTTCCAGTTCAAGCAGGGCGCCAGTGCGTTTGCCATCAAGGAGGTGATGACAGCGACTCTGCATGTCTCGACGAGTTACTAAGTCTGGTTGCTGATAGATCACTTCCCGCTTCTTTGCACTGACCAAGGAGTGTGTGCATCCAACTTCGGGGAGGCCGTACATCGTCTCAGTCGCAGGCGGCAGGGACATCTCGACGGAAAACCTCCAGGTACCTGGGCCCGCCCCCTCAACACAAGGCCCATCACTCGGATGCTTACTTTGTTAGAATGGCATCAGTCATGCTTTCGTCTTGCAGTTCCACTCAATTGAAGATCGGGACTACTATGTGAATCAAGATCCAGCCCACAAGGCATTCAAAGAGGCTGCTAGTGCAGTCGTGGAAAAGGCGACGGTTGTGGACTTTCAAAATGGCGTATTCACTGATGCGTTGCGAGTCTAGGAGCAGTTTTCACTCCGTATATCCAACCAAACCCATGGGCTTACTTAGCTGCTCGGTCAAATGTAGCCTCCATATCGAGGTAATATTGCACATTCATAAGTTATACATGGGCTGCCGAACCCTCATGACACTTCCTTCTTGGTCTCTGGGGCCGCTGCCTGCTCTTCGACCACAACATCTTCTATCAGCTCCTGCTTTGCTTGCTCTTTCCTAGCACTCCTTCGCTTCACAGGGTTTGCTGGCTTGTAGTAGTCGACATCCTCAAAGTAATGCATATCCCGCTTCATCTTGTCCTCGGGATATACCTTTCGTGGTGGTGGTAATATCCTGTCGTCTATGCCCTCCTTTTGCTCTACCCGCAACCTCTGAACCATTTCACGCAGGCTCTCAACGCCTCCTTCACGGAATTGCGTGACCTTCTTGACGTGTGTCGTAAGTCCTGGGCTCAGACCCAGCTTTGCGGGCCTCCGTGCTAGCGTCTTTGCTGTCAGAGCAAAGCGCATGTCTTTTGGTCCATCAACGAGTTCGAGGATAGCGGATTCGGCCTGATCTTCCTTGAGGGGCTCAATTCGAAGAACGCGCGTGTATCCACCGGGTCTGTTTGCATATCGTTCTCTTATAGGGCCAAACAACTTGGGTACCATCTCGTTCGGTTCCTGACGCCCGTCAGTATGCCATTGCTATTGCCACTCCCGGCCATCCATACATAGAAGATCTGTGTCGCTCTCCGCCTCGTAGCCTCTGTGTTTTTCTTTCCAAGTGTGACGAGTTTCTCGGCTAACCGCTGAGCTTCCTTTGCCTTGTGCCATGTCGTCGCAATGGTTTCGTGCTTGAAGAGCGATGTGACGAGGTTTCGCAGGAGCGCCTGGCGATGCGCCGACGACCGGCTGAGATGGCGATATTTCATATGACCGCCCGCCATGACTGGCAATTGGGTCGACTAGGTCGTGGGGGAAAGGTGTGCAGGGCGTGGATGCTGTCGCAGTATGCAATACCTCCAACCCACGAAAAGTTCGGGCGGCCAGCCGGCGTTTACCCGACCCCACCCCTGCTTCTACTATGGCCGCGGATTATGCAAGCACTTAACACTAATCCGTGACCTAAGCAACGCGACGCGTTTCTTTCAGACCCTCCAAGCGCGTTATAAGTCCCTGCACCCACTCACCCCTCCTGGTCTGCACGCTCTTCTTCATACTCAACCCTCCTTTCATATACACAAGTACCAGATACCCTTTAGTCGTAGGACTTTTCTAATTCAACATGTTCGTCTTCAAGCGTGGTATGTACCATCTTGCCTTCACCGCCTCCGATTCTCCTGGCTGCAAACTTTCTCCCCATGCTAACAATTGCTTCCAGACGGACGTAAGGAACGTGTGCAGTTCGACAAGATCACAGCTCGTGTGTCGAGGCTATGTTATGGCCTTGATCCCGACCATGTCGACCCCGCCGCCATCACAATGAAGGTCATCTCTGGTGTCTACCAGGGTGTCAACACGACCCAACTGGATGACTTGGTAGGCCTGTGAACGTGCCTCATGCCCCTCACCATCCCTGACACACAATAGGCCGCCGAGACAGCAGCCTACATGACCACCACACATCCCGATTACGCCATCCTTGCAGCCCGTATCGCCGTATCAAATCTCCACAAGCAGACAAAGAAGCAATTCTCTGCAGTCGTGGCAGATCTTTACAACTACGTCAACCCAAAGAATGGCAAGCACCAGCCTATGATCTCAGATTTTGTCTACAAGGTTATCCAGGATCACGCAGAGGAGCTCAACTCGGCTATAGTATACGACCGAGACTTCAACTACCAATTCTTTGGCTTCAAGACGCTTGAGCGTTCATACCTCCTCCGCATAGATGGCAAGGTTGCTGAGCGTCCGCAGCACATGCTCATGCGTGTCGCTGTTGGTATCCACGGCGAAGACATTGAGAAGGCCATTGAGACCTATGACTACATGTCACAAAAGTACTTCACACACGCCTCCCCGACGCTGTTCAATGCAGGCACTCCCTCACCTCAGATGTCTTCTTGCTTCCTCATCGATATGAAGGAGGACAGCATTGACGGTATCTACGACACACTCAAGACTTGTGCCTTGATCTCCAAGACCGCTGGCGGTATTGGTCTCAACGTCCACCGAATTCGTGCTACTGGCTCATACATTGGTGGCACCAACGGAACATCAAACGGTCTCATTCCTATGCTCCGTGTGTACAACAACACCGCTCGCTACGTCGACCAGGGTGGTAACAAGCGTCCCGGTGCTTTTGCCATTTACCTTGAGCCGTGGCATGCTGATGTCTTTGGCTTCCTTGATCTCCGCAAGAACCACGGAAAGGAGGAAGTTCGTGCCCGTGATCTGTTCTACGCTCTGTGGATCCCCGATCTGTTCATGAAGCGTGTCCAGGAGAACGGCGAGTGGACTCTCATGTGCCCCAACGAGTGCCCCGGCCTCGCTGATGTCTACGGTGATGAGTTTGAGGCTCTGTATGAGAGCTACGAGAAGCAGAACAAGGGCCGTGAGACTGTCCGCGCCCAGAAGCTGTGGTATGCCATCCTCGAAGCCCAGACCGAAACCGGTAACCCCTTTATGCTCTACAAGGATGCTTGCAACCGTAAGAGCAACCAGAAGAACTTGGGCACTATCCGTAGCTCCAACTTGTGCACGGAGATTGTCGAGTACACCGCCCCTGATGAGGTTGCTGTTTGCAACTTGGCCTCTCTTGCTCTGCCCTCCTTTGTCGACTACAAGCGTGGTGAGTTTGACTTCCAGAAGCTCCACGAGGTCACTCAGGTTGTCACCCGCAACTTGAACAAGATCATTGAAGTCAACCACTACCCCGTCGAGGAGGCACGCCGGAGCAACTTCCGTCACCGACCTATCGGTATGGGCGTGCAAGGTCTTGCCGATGCTTTCCTCGCATTACGTCTGCCCTTCGAGTCTGCAGAGGCCAAGAAGCTCAACATTCAGATCTTCGAGACCATCTATCACGCTGCTCTCACCTCTTCCTGCGACATTGCCAAGGAGCTTGGTCCATATGAGACATACGAGGGATCTCCCGTCTCTCAGGGAATCCTCCAGTATGACATGTGGAACGTCACCCCTACCGACCTCTGGGACTGGGCAGAGTTGAAGGCCAAAATTGCCCAGCATGGTGTGCGCAACTCTTTGCTCATCGCCCCCATGCCAACTGCCTCAACCTCCCAGATTCTCGGAAATAACGAGTGCTTCGAGCCCTACACCTCCAACATCTACTCTCGTCGTGTGCTCGCGGGTGAGTTCCAGGTTGTCAACCCATGGCTACTCAAGGATCTTGTCGACATGGGTCTGTGGTCTGAGAACATGAAGAACCGCATCATTGCCGAGGGTGGTTCTATTGCAAGGATTCCCAACATCCCCGAGGAGACCAAGACGCTCTACAAGACCGTTTGGGAAATCTCGCAGCGAACCATCATTCAGATGGCTGCTGACCGTGGTGCGTTCATTGATCAGTCACAGTCGCTGAACATCCACATGAAGGAGCCAACTATGGGCAAGATCACCTCGATGCACTTCGCTGGATGGAAGCTTGGTCTCAAGACTGGCATGTACTACCTCCGTACCATGGCCGCCTCTGCTCCAATTCAGTTCACTGTCGACCAGGAGGCTCTCAAGGTTGCAGACACCAACGTTGCCCGTGCTCTACCAAAGGTGCGAAAGCAACCAGGCTTCGTGCCGGAGGCAATCCGTAGCTCTGGTGTTTCATCGCCAGCAGCCCCACGACCGATGTATGCTACCAAGTCCGAGGAAGGTACCAATGGCGAAAACGGTGTTGCCAAGACAGATGTTGCCCCAGAGAGCAAGAATGCCCTCGCCAGCAAACCTTTCAAGGCTGATGTAGATGAGGGTGACAGCCCAAAGATGGTTGCCGCTGATGCTGTTGGCAAGCAAGATGAGGAGCTTTCAAATAAGGCCAAGCAAGACGAAGACTCCAAGGACGATAGCGCAGCCCGCGATGGCGACATTTATGCTGATGCTGTCCTTGCTTGCTCAATAGAGAACCCTGAGGCCTGCGTCATGTGCAGCGGTTAAAGGGTGGTTGTTTGGATACTGGTCATGGGTGGGGTGGATGAGCATTAGCACCCGGTTTGTGTTGCTCATATCATGTTTTGTTTATGAGGTTCGCTGTTTTTATGATTGGAGATGCTCGCCATATAGGCATGGAGGAATGAGTTTATGAGTTAGGTCCTGTTATGTTACCCCTGCGCTCTAGTATATGTAGTAAACATATGTTTAGTTGTAAAGATGAATGTGTTTATCATATCAATTTCCTGGAGTGATGTATGCTATTAGTGGTGGTGGTTGCTACTATTGGTGTGGGAATCGGTGCGATTGCAACGATTGAGCTGCTTGCGGGATGGAATCTACAAACTACAGCTGAAGGTAGTACTTGACGACATCTTGCTGTACAAACATGCACAGCACATGCAAGTAACATATCCTATAGTGAACCTAGTCTACGACATACAAACTTATTCTGCCAATCTCAGTCCATAAATCTCCCAATACAACAAAACAAAACAAACACATACCATATCTATTCCGATCCTTGTCTCCTTCCTTTACAACGCCTTCCGAATCGCACTCTTGAACGGAATAATCTGCACCTCATCCCAATTCCACACGCCCTCATTGACATAGACATCCCTCTTCAGCCTCTCCACCACCTCCTCACGCGTCGCAGCGCCAACCAAGCAAGCCGAGCCCTTCATTTTAGGTGGGTTCGTATCGCCGGGTTGAATTGGTTCTTCGAGCATGGCGCCTATTTGTTTCTGCGCGTTAGTCACAATCACCTGTAATCTTGACAAGTCTTACCCCCCTCCCCCCCCCCCCCCCCCCCCAAAAAAAAAGAAAGAAAGAAAATAAACAAGGGAGAAGAGAAGGGAAGGGGAAAAAAAGGGGAACGTACCACCCCAAAGCCAAAAGTCTTCTCTATCCGCTTTCATTCCTTCGAGATGCTTCGGGCGGACTGCGAGACGCTTGCTCAGCGCTTCTTTGTGGTCGGGGACGATGACGAGCCATTCTTGGAGCGGTTGTTGCGATGTCGAACTCATGGTGCGTTGTTGTGCAAAGACGGTACGGTTGTAGAACGCAGGTGTTACGGTGCGGATTAGACTTCGTGGGGAGGATTGAAGAGTGCGACGGAGGAGGAGGAGGTGCATGTATTTGTTTTGGGTGATTGTTTGTTTGGACAGAGAGGGAGAGGTGGTTTTGGGGGGGGGAGGGGGCGCGATGTCGGAGGAAGGATGGAGCGAGGGGGGAAGGAGGTGGTGGGGCTGATGCGGGTGGATGCGGTTTATGTAGCAAGGTTAAAGTGTTGAAGGGACCCTGAGGTTGCAGGATGGGGGAGCTGACAAAGGGACTTGTTGGGTGCTTATTTATATATCAGTGTCTCTTTCCTCGGATGATTATTTTGATTGGGACTCGAATGGGGGCTGGCAATGTACATCCAAGGGCGCGTTTTTGCGAACGGTGTATGTACGTACGTAGGGCGTGGTTGGTGGGGGAACTCACGGTCTGTCGGAATGGAGCCGCGGCTTCTCGGAACGACGCCACTTGACAGCGAAAGGCGTGGGGTAGATGGATAGGTACTGGGAATACAGATGTCACAGCGTTGCATACATGCATGTCTTAGGTGGTATATTCTGCAGATACATTTAAACCGATTTCCACGGCACGTAAACTTGTGGAGATCCCGGGCTTAACAAATAAACCGTTCTTCGTCGGTATAGTTCCTGTGTGATAAAGGTGAGAAGTCAATCGGTATTGCGTCATTGGAGAGATCTGATAAGAAGAGAGGGCAAATATACCCATAATATATACAAGCTCCGATCTTCGAAACAAGGACTGTCCTTGACAATTCCTTCCTGGCGGATATAGGAACGAAACCCAGAGAACGGCAAGCACTTTCAAACAAGCCAAGCCGATCCTTCTCAGTGATCGATTCAATATAGTTCAATCAGACCTTAGTGAATCCTGCAAAATGTTTACTTGTGGTACATGTAAAAATATCCTGAAATACATTGCCAAGGCCTATATACACCTCGATAAGCTTAACTATACGGTACAACCAAAAAACTCCTGTAATGCAGCATGTGCTAAGGAGCACAAAAAGTCTATTTTACGTCCCTGCCGCAACGCACATATTTAGCATACCTGTTCCCTTGCAATTGACTCAACGAGATGCCTCTTTTCTCCTGCCAGCATCACTAGAACCCGCCTCATCGTCGTCATCGCTATCAGCACCCAAGGAAAAAGATGAGTCATTGGTAGGTCCGCGACCCTTCTCAGAATAGCCATTGCCTGGATGCTTCTTCTTCTTCGCACCGTTCAGATCGTCGAGTTCGTTCTCGTCAAAGTCCGCCGCCTCAACATCACGGCTCCGGTCTCGTCGTCGGAAGTTGTCGAGGCCCATGCCGGTAAGCAGGGACTCGCGGCCTTCGTCACCGCCATCAACACCTTTATATTCAGCGTTCTTGCGACGACTGCGCCAGAGGAAGAACGCGCAGAGACATGCAACAATAACAGTGACGACAAGGGCAGTCTCTCCCGAGCGCTTGTAGGCTTTCCATTCTGCTGCTTTGAGCTCCTTGCTCTTGTCTTCTTCGGCCTTTGTGGAGTTGGGATGATCACCAACACTCGTCAGGGGTCCCTTTTCGCCGTTGATAAGGCTGTTGGCAGGAGCACCGCCAATCTGTTCAATGTTGACGCCCATGAAGCGATCAAGCATGTCTCGAGTGCGGCGCGGGTAGTCGAATGGCACCATGTGGCTCGAGTTGTAGAAGACGACGTAGGTTAGGTTGCGCGCCTCCTGCCAGGTTCCGGCGGGTTCTCCTTCGAACATCCAATCCGACTTGGCGTTCTGAACGCCCGGGGAAGCCTCAAAGCCCTTTCCGCCGTTCCACTTGAGGTTCTGAATCATAGCCTCGGTACCGACATGGTTGCAGATCAGATCCTTGTCACCAGAAAACAGCAGAACGGGAACCTGCTCAATAACCTCGGGCAGGAACTTGACAGAGGGATCACTCTTCCTAGCACGGAAGTGGCTAGAGACGGCACCGTTGCACTCCTGCCAGCCAGTCTTTTTGTCAGGGTTGATGTGGAGTGCTTGGATGACATCAGGTCGGCGGAGATAGGGGGTAACCAGGGAAAGATCCGGAGGCCAGTTCATTCCACAAGAAGAGTCGTCGCGCAGGCGGATGTCGTACATGTTGACGCACTGGTTCATCTCGTCTGCTTTCAAGTTCTTGGTCTCTTCCAGAATCCTGACCATGATTTGCTCACACTCTGGTGTATCCACTCTGTTCATGCCACCATCGCTGAGCTTTTCGGTGCAGACTTTCAGCTGGCTTTCGATGCGCTTGGCCGAATCTGTGCCGCTCTGCATGAGGCCGTTCTGGTAGGCAAAAGGAATGTATGAGAGGTATTGGTCAACTGGCGAAATCCAGCCATTTCCAATCAAGAGACCCTTGAGTGGCCATGGGTTTTTGGAGGCATTGATCTTGTTTCGCTTGAGGATGGCGCGGGCGATGTAAGGAATGTGCTGTCCAGCATACGATTCACCAGCAATGTACAACTGCCATGCGTTAGTAAAAAGCACTGTGTGACCACATTTCCTCTACTCACATCGTCGTTCTCGTATTCGGGGAAAAGGGTGAAGAACTTGTCAAGAAAGGTAATCATGTGCTCAGCCATTTGGTCAAGCTCGCTTAGGTAGCTGTCCGTGTTCACGTAGCTGAAGCCAGTGCCTACGGGCTGGTCTACGAAGAGCAAGTTGGCGAACTCGTCCCAAGAACCATTGTTGTATTCGAGGTGGCCGCCTTCGCGAACTCTGTAGGGGCCGACTTCCATCATAGCGCCGTCCATGGAGGAGCAGCCAGGGCCGCCGTTCAGCCATAACACTGTGCGTTGTTTGTCCGAGATGTGGCGGTTCTCGTAGTGCCAGAAGAAGAGATGTCCGTTGTTTTGCGGGTCTACTTCAATGTGCCTGTAGGATGGTTAGACTGGCCATGGTTCCTGCCATTGCCGGCGTGCTTACCCTGCGTGCATCTTCAATAGCGGCTCTGGCGCACCAGGAAGTTTGCGCACAAAGTAGTCGGCCTGTGTCTTTTCTGCTGCCATTATGCTGGGTAGCCATGATACGGTGGCGATGAGGCCACCGAGCAAAGCTGTTCGCCATCGCGATGGTGGATGTGAGGAGGCCATACTGGGGCCGCGTGTGCGTGTCGGGATGGAAGGCCGCGGAGGTTGCGGTGCACGCTGCGACTACCACATGGGCCGACGGGGGGAATATGGGGTGGGAGTGGGGAAGCGTGGGCAGTGCGTGGATGGAGTGTGCGAGGAGGTATTATACAGTCGGGTGTGGTTGTCGGGGTTGTAGCACAAGTCGGGATACGAAGAATGTAGGATAGGTGGCTACTGGGCGGCTGACGGGTCCCTGTAAATCGGGGTCCTTTACCAAGGGGGGCAGTCCAGGCCTCGACGGCGGTAATGTTCAGATACGCGAGACAGTCTACGCAGGAGCAAAAGCAAAACAAAGCAACAAAAGAAGGGATTTCTTTGACCGCTGGTTTGGCTGCAGCGACAAAGGAAAAAAATAAGTGGTCAAGAGTACAGCACGGTACGAGTAGGGATATGAACATGGCTATCGAGCACTTCTCTGGCGCATCGGCCGTGGTTCCTTAGTGTAAGCCAGCCAATCACAGCGCCTCCCTCTCCGGCTCTCTCCAACTCCGCGTCTCGAAAAGACACGCAGCGCGCGCTGCATCTGATACGCCTGGGCAGTTCCACCTGCTTCAACCACGTATCACCCTCTTCTTTTGGCCTCAGGCTTGCACAAGGCCGGCGTTCACGGACATTGGAACACGCGTCGCTGCGCTCGTGTTGCCTGTTACGGAAACATGCAGCTTCGATCCCGCATTCCAAGGGTTTCGCAACATGCAAGCTCACGGCAAAGGCTTCTTTTGCACTATCGAGGCGACGACTACTAATTGTGATTGCCTTGGCTGTCGACGCCATGCTACTTCACTTACTAGTACTACCTTGCCACGGACATGCGGAAAGGGTTCTGGAGCATTGTCGCCATCTAATCGGCCCGTCTCCCCAGGGTCTGGCTGTGAGCTCTCGAGCCACCAGCCAGAATTACACCACGGAGCCTATGAAGGACTTGTAGTGCTGTCATCAGTGCTAACAAACATTCCCGGAAGCGGTACGCGTCTATTGTCGTCGAACACTGCGTGCCACAGTGGCGCATGGATGTTTCCCATGCTGCCGGCCCCGGCTGCGGCTGCGGCTTCGGGGCTGGGCCTGAGGATTGGTCCCATCTTGTCTAGAAGAGATCGTTGAGACTTTTGGCCGAGTCTTTGACGATCAGATCACGCATGCCCTGAGGATCTGGTCAGCGCCATCCATCCTGCCTCCGAAACGTTGCATGTGCGGCAATACGTACCTCGGGCATAATAGGCTGTCCATCGTTGCCCTTGACATAGCGAAACGGCATCTGTGTGCTCTCGTTCTTGTTGATCTTCAGATCTGGGTGGTCTATATATGGGATCTGGTCGACGGGTACTGCGTTTCATGAGCATCTCACATCCACAAAACCAGCATCTGTGACGAGCATGGATGACGTACCCTTGTCCTGGACGCAGATCCTAGTCACACGGACTGCAGTGTCGGTTGTCATCTGTACTGGACCTAGACGACGACCTTGATATCCCTTCTTGCGCAACTCTGAAGTGCGGTCTATATACAGGCCGTTAGCTGACGGAGAGCAGACTGCCCAGCGTTTGCGGCATCACACACCTCTAGGTGGATCGTCTCCTAGGCGGCGTCAGCTCATGGCTACTCGGACCAACAGTGGTTGAAGGCATCACGTGTGCTTACCCAGGATACCGCCGAAGAGAAAAATGTCAAAAGTGTCACCGTCTTCTGGGCTCAGGTCCTTGGATGCCGCTGGATCGAGCAGGCATACTTTGTCCTTTTTGTCGGCATATATCTCTTCGATTCCTCTAGTCTCGACTTGGAGCCCCTTGGCGCCCTGGAGGTTGGCAGGCAGGGTCAAGGAAGTCGGGACGGAAGAGAGCAAGAATTGAGCGCCCGAGGCGTGGGACTCTGCTGCAATGGCCGAGTATTCCAAGGACGACCATTCCTCGAGTTCCGGGTCGAGATGCTCTACTACAAAAGTCTTGCCAGTGCTCGCCATTCTGCCTGTGATTGGAGGGAGTTGGGGAAAAGACTGTGGCCTGAGTATTACAGTGGTTTTCTGGCGTGGAATTTCACAGCATGTGCTAAGCGAAAAAAGGACCGCGACGGGCGGGGCAGACCTTGTCTGGCTCGACGCCTCAGCGACGATTGCTTTGGGTTCGGATCGGAGGGTGAGATTCGGAGCCCTGCAACAGCACTTGGCTAGCCGGATTGCATGGTGGTGGGAGGGTGACCGTCAGGATTTGATAGATGGCGAGACTAGCAGAGCGGAGCCGCCTATCAGAGCAAAGTCAGGATGCACCATTACATGCGGGGGGGAAGCATGGTCGCGCGGTGCCAACCAAAAGCGCACCACTGCCATGATACAATGACAGAAGGACAACGAGGGCAAGGCGAATGGTCGACGGCATCTCCATTCAGCCGTCTCAGGGGCTTGGGAAGCCAAGTCAGGTGGCGCGTGACGTTGTGCGGGTGCTCAGTGTGGTAAGGGCTGGGGCAATCCGTCGTGTGCCTCGAACCCGCACGCCGCAAGAGGGTTGGTGGGCTAGGGCAGAGGGTAACTAAGTGACCAAGCACCATGGCTTCGCGGCAACGGCTTCTTTTCCCTGAATTGCTTTGTGCCTACTGCATCAATTAACCCGTCATATCCAGCCAGGCCCCTTGGAAATCGCTGGACCCGGCCCACTGCATTGCCTACGCCTACACATACATATCTGCTGCATCTACCCCTCCTCGGGTTGGCCTCTCCAACGTTAAACCCACGCATCTACCGCAACGCCCACCGCCCGCCTTTGTCCATAAATCGCGCCTGTTCTGCCTTTTTGTCTTGCTCCGTGACTTGCATTACATCCTTCTCTTGCCACACTGTCTACCGCTCGTCGTCTCTTTGCTCGATTGACTGCGCGCACCGTCCCGCATTCGGCACCTCGGGCGACTAAGGCTTATCGCATACTGGATAGAGGGGCATTCCCATTTTCATCACCACCACCAACACCACCACATCCATCTTCCAGGCACTGCCGTTGCAGCAGCCATAAATCTAGACCAGACGAGTCATAGCTCGCTGACCGTTGTGCGTTGTCAGGCCGTGGGCAGCAGCAGCAGCACGAACGAGCCAAGTCCGAGCTTCGTCTCGACACCCAATCGTCAGGGCGTGCAATCACACCAGACTTCCTTCGCCCTGTCCCTGTCACATCGTCCTCGACAGTACTCGCCCAAATTGGCCAACCCAACCCAACCCAACCCAACACGTTCCCGACTGTGCTATAACATAACTTGCGCCTGCCCACCCCTTGCTGTGGCGCCATAAAGAGCTCGTATCATCCTCTGTCTGCATCTCTCCCAAGCAGTTACCCCTCCCGACAACATCATCGCCTACAATTCACACCACCACAACAATACAACTCTCAATACCGCCACCATGAACCCGCACCAGCAGAACAAGGTCGATGTCAGCGTACGTCATACCAATCCTTGCATACCTCTTTTTCGCAAACGGCCACGACTAACACTACAGGAATAGAAACTGTCAGAGCAGGAGGCCAAGCTCTTCCGTCTGTACGGCAAGCTGCCCAACAAGAAGGACCTTCTCCAGAACAAGCTCAAGGTGCGTTACTTTCCTGCATAGACATGCCAATCTCCAATCATTTGTCTAACAAATATCCACAGGAGCGCAAGTACTTTGACAGTGGCGACTACGCCCTCTCCAAAGCCGGAAAGGCTGGTGACGTCGGTGTCACACAAGTCGGTCGCGAGCATCCCAATCCCGAAAAGATCCCACACATCGCCCCCTCCACACCCATTGGGCAAAATGGCTCCGTCAACAGCAATGGCAACAGCGCTGCTGCCTCGCAGGGTGATTTGGCTAGCAGCCCCGTCAAGGAACACACATTCTTGCACCGCGAGACGAGCTTGAACCGGGAAACCTCGGCTTCGGAGTTTGAGAACGATATTTCCCAGGACGCACAGGGTGGCCCTGTCAAGGCATAATTGGGCTCTCGCAACGTCAGAACCGTGCGCGCTCCCATTCCTTTGCACTCATTTGGCGCAACTTTGGATGACGGTGCCCAAAATGTATCTTTACGCACCCTCAAATGACCTGGTCTATTCTCTTTTTTGTGGAATTGGACACGGAGTTTGCGACAGCCTTCCATGTCAGCCGAGGCTTTTGTTTTCGGAACCACAGCGCCCGACGGCCAACAGTTTCTACAAGTAACAAACTCTGGCGCATGGAAGCAACTTTCACTTCTTATGTAGCAGTACATTTGACCATTGGTGGATGAATAAGGGGTGATCCTGGAGCTTGTTCCAGGTGGATTTTTGAAGTTTTCTAAGCTTCACGATATGGCTTTGGGTGTGTACGCCTGTCAGAGTAGAAGATATCATAGCAATATGATTACAGACACGTCTCATTTATCTAGTGTGTATCGTCTTGGCACCTGCACAGGTAGCTCTTTCATGACTACCGTTCCCCCAGTAGATGTGTTTGCTGTCGCTTGCTGCCATGGTTGTTCCAATCAATCTGGAGTATTTCAAGGTGCCAAAAGTTCACTCCAATCCTTTCTCGCTTCAACCCACCTCCACCACAACCTCTTCTCAACAGCCAACATGATCACCGCCCGCGCTATGAAGCGTAGACGGCTGGCCGAAGACGCTAGGATCGCCGCCGCTTCCATACCTGATCAGCCCCAGAACATTTTCCTCAATTTACCCCAGGAGATCCGCGATCAGATCTACACATTCATCTTCAAGAAGAGCCGTGCGATGGAGTTCTTTTTGCAAATCTTGTGTCTGCCTTTGTGTCCCATCTTACTTACTAAAGGAGAGATACGAAAGTTACTCAGAAAATACCAGAGGCTTTCCATTATGGATGTTAACTTGCAAATAGATGTTGTACGAAGCCCTAGAATTCATTGGAAGAATGCATACTCTCAAGCCATCTGGCACGACTTCAAGGCTGGACGAAACAAGGAAAGTAGTGCCCAACCCACTCATTTTTTTTTCAAAAAAGCTGTCCGTGATATTCGCCTCTGCCATACGCACGGTATCACGGACTTCCACTGGCTGTACAGATTAGTCACGATTGACAACGACTTCCATTATAGGGAACGTGACTTCCTATGCCTTCTCAAGCAGGCGCAGGCGCAGGCAACCGATCTGTGTCTGGAGCTCTACTGGGATTGCTGGACATACAAACAACGAGAAGAAGCTTTGTTGGAATCCTAGACGCCATATTGGAATGGCAAGTTCCGGAGAGTCGTCATCGAAGCCATGGTCTCGTTTGTGACGCAGAAGGGAAGTCAGAATGAAAAGTCGCAGGAGGAAGCGGAAAAGCTGGCAGTCCGGCTGGTGGGATCGGGCCCAGTTGTTACATGGTGTGATCTTGACTGCGTCAGCGATGATCACACAAAGAGTAGACGCGTAGTTGTTGAGCGCAAGATTTGAGAATGTTGTTTATCTGTGAGGGAAAGGTGGGAATTTGATTGAGCCCTGGACTCAATGGCAACACCAGGATAATCACAGTTTCAAGTTTGCGGGGGTTCACGGGGATAGGAAGCCTAGTTCATGCAGAGGATCAATATGGAAAGTTATCTTTAGTTACTAGAAAGTAAAAAAAAATCAAACTGACTTAACGATCAATTGTCACGAGCGAAATTCGTGCGGCACATTACCACATGCTTAAGTACTCAAATAAGTGTAACGCGCCAAAAAAAGGCCGAAATTCCTATTCTAATTTCCTGCTTAGCAATAAATCCCAAGTCACAAAAAACCAGAACCTCTAACACCCCAACCCAACCATCCACCACCACCACCACCACCCTCAATTCCTTCTCAAACCCCTCAACGTCCCCGCAAACCGCCGCCTAGTCACATACACAAACATCAACACCCCTACAACCAACACCACACCCCCAGCATCCACCCTCGGATGTCCCACCGCCTGCTTCCTAACCTCCTCCACATACCCCTTAACCTGCCCGCCAACCCCCTGCTGCGACTCCAAATCCGGCATGCTCATAACCAGCACTACGAGCGCCGTCCAGCCCGTGAACCCCTTCGCACGCACCCCCTTCCCACTCGCAGAATCGTACTGTTCGTATACAAACCGCGTTTCACGCCACTGCTTAAACGCCATCTTGACTACATTCTTACGCAGTAAAATATAACTCTCATGCGCTCTCCCCTGCTCCGGACCTTTGGTCTGCGCAAGCCGGAGCAACTGGTCTAAGAGTAGGTAATTAAAATTCATCCAGATAGAAGAGCGGGCGTAGTTTTCTTCGGCGCCATACTGCGGGTCCTGCGGGCTGAGGCTACGGATCCCCTGCTGGCTCCATAGATGCGTTGGGTCGCGCAGTAAATCGAGGACGGCGGGGAGATGCGGGTGCGAGGGGTCGAGAAGGCCGGTTAGGAGGGGGAAGAGGGAGATGTAGCCTTTGTGGCAGGTGAAGCTGTGTTGGCCGTTTTGGACAATGGAGTCGCAGTAGAGGGAGGTGGAAGGGTCCCAGTGGAGGGTGTCGATGTTGCGTTTTATGCTGCGTACGTGCTTTTGGTATGTGAATGCGTCGTGGGCGTTTTCGGTGAAGAAGGCGATTTGCTCGAGGGTGCGGCCCATTACGCCGACCCAGCAGAGGGCGTCGAGGTGCAGTTCGGTGAGGTCTGGGGGTTCGGCGCGTGGGTAGTCGGATAGACCGCTGGCGGTGTTTTTGCCTGGGGTTCGGGCGCGCCAGCGGTAGCCTTCGTTTAGGTTGGCCGAGGGGATGGAGTGCGCTTCTACGTCTCCTGACTGCGATTTTCGGAACCATTCGTAGTGGCGTTTGAGGAGGGGTTGCATTTTTATCACGAGGGCTTTGCCGGTTTCGGGTGAGGAGAGGTAGACTGAGTTGCGGCCGTGGTACTTGATTGTGCCCCTGAGCATCTTTACGAATTTCGAAATGACGAGGTACATTGTTGGGGGACTGGCAATGTGCGGGAATTGATTGATGGACTCTGGGGGCGTAGAGGCTTCGGCTTCGAAGCCTAGGATTTGCTCTCGTGCGATCCAGCCGTCATCGTCCATTAGGAAGAGCCAGTCACGCATCACCTCCAGCGCAAGGTCTGCATCCCATTCCAGGACCAAAAGGAGATGGAAGCCTTCGTCAAATAGAGAGCCTCGTGGGAATGCTGCACGGGATGGCGTATGCGTGAGAAGCTCGTATGGACCTTTTGTCTCTGGCGTTGTGTGTTTGTTTGCATCTGCAGACTTTTCCCAGAAGTTGGCCGTAGTCTCTGCATAGATGGCCTTTTTCGCTGTGACAACTTTGGAGCTACCAGTGAAATATCCAAGGCCGCCCAGTAGGTCGGAGAAGACACTTTTGGAGAAACTCAGATGCTCAAAGGTCTTGAACGGTGGCGTTGGATTGAAGACTGAAAGAAAGTTCTTGCCAAACGTTTGCATGGCTTTCTCTAGGTCTGTGGTGAGACTCGCAGCTGGGAAGTATTAGTCTTGCGGTGAACGGCGATGCCCAGCATATAAGACCAAACTCACAGGTCATAGCACGTTTCGCTGTTTCGGTGGAGTAAAGAATATCAAACTGCAAGAGTTTAGTGTAGCTCATAGCTTTGTGCCGTAGAAATGACTTACCTCAAACTCTCCATGAAGGACCATCTGCACGAAATGCATATTGCCTGCGCCTGGGGCATTCCGAATCACAATATCGGTTGGTCCAGGTTCCTTTCGGTCCTTTGTTTGGTCTTTCAGGGTATCCAAGAAAGTGGCTTCTTGCGGGCAGAATGATCAGCCGGCCGTTCACATCAAGATAGTGGGTCATGGCAATAGGTAGAAGAAAGTCTGGTATCTCGAGTACGTACATTTGGCCTGCCACAATCGGTCCTCTGTCACATTCAGCGACTTGACGAATGCTATCTCACGGTGTCCATCGCTGTTATTAGGAACGAGAATGTGTATTCCAGAGGCGCCCAGTTTTGGGTGAACAAGGTTCATGTTCACAGCATGGACAGATGTGTCTTCGCCCTCTCCGAGCTGTTGGCGAGCATCTAACCTGCAATGGGCACAGGCTTCTTTCTCTTCCATACCCAGGTAGAAGATGACGGCTGTCTTTAATTCAGGAGGCGCATCGAATCTTGGTTTTCCCTTAATTCTCAAGCCCCAGTTTCCCTGGTGCTGCCCCTCTGAATACTTTATGAACTCTGTCGTGATGTTGACCTTGTTACCAACGTCTTCTATGACTTGCTGGCCACCCTCTCGTGTGTCGTATGCAGTCCAGCCATATCGTGCTATGTCTTCGCTTTGGTTTACATTATGTCGCAGTGCTGCACAACTTGTCAGCATTGCAATTGACCGATGCTAACCTCAACTTACTCGTTCCAACGTCCTCTAGTCTCGCCCACATTAAACCCGCAATGACACTTTTGGGTACCCGGGGACGGAGCCCTAGATAGATATTCGGCCGGTAGGGGCCCCATAGAAGCGACTGAGTATTCGTAGAGGGGTTCTCATCGACAGCGGATGTTGGTGAAACGCTAGCCAGGACGAGGGCAAGGAGAGCCCAGGGAAGCATGGTGTAGATTGACGCGTTTCAACGCGAACTAACGCGTTCGGCCAAATAACTGTAAGCGTAGCGGCCGAATTGCAATAGTACAATAGTTCAGGTCATCTTCTTCCCGCGTCTCTAGGCACCGGTGGCTGCTCTACAATGGCTTTTGCGGATGTGAATGCCCAGCCACACCTGTCCTCAAGCCACGTCTTTGATAATTGGCCAAAGCACCCTCTTGTGGAGCAGGAGTGACGCCATTGCTAAGTCGAATGCATCCTTCGCCAGGAATCAACTTTGGTCGCAAATCAATTGCACACGATAAGAGACATAATACGCTTTGCTCACCAATTCCGGATCTTAGGGATTGCCGTGGGAGGATATTCGACCATACAAAAGCAGCGAATTCAATGATTATCCGCCTATGATCGCCATGTTCCGCATCCCCGATAGCCACCCATCGACCACTCACACGAGCAAGTTCTTTTTATTCCACGCTATACGTGCCTATAAAGCATGTATTGGTCTGCCGTGATGATGCAATGTCTAGAGCTGGGGTAGAGTCTCGCCGCGGTAAACAGCCGCTTTTCCCCCCGCGCGACGTCAGCAGATCCGACATAGATCCACCACCATGCCGAGACCCCCACAATCTGCATGTTGGCACGTATGCAATGCACAAGATGAAAAGCGCCGACTTCCCGCATTGATAGGTTCATGATTCTGATCGACCCTAGGATAGCAGCGAACAAAGATTTTGGAGAACTATTTACATTGTACACCATTAACCTAACACTAGTATATACGACGTACTATACATTGGCAACATGAACGAGCAAGTAGAGCGTTTGGTAAACAAGATCTGGGGTATTTGATACCAGCCTTGAATTCTAGGTCGCATACTAACATCTATCCAGAGAAGTACCAAGACATCCCAGCATCCAAACGCCTAATGATCGCCATCTCAGGAATCCCTGGATCCGGTACGTTGCTGCACACGCACCCCAAACCGCCCTCTCCCAATCTGACAAGAAGGAAAACCAGGAAAAACCACATTAGCAACCATGGTATCCACCAAAATCAACGAGAAACACGCACAGCAATCTCCAGGCACCGCAAATAGCAACCCCATCTCCGCCTTCATCCCAATGGACGGCTTCCACCTCTCCCGCCTCCAGCTCGACGCAATGCCCGACCCGCACAGCGCCCACGCCCGGCGCGGCGCAGCCTTTACTTTTGACGGTGACTCTTTCTTCACGCTTGTGAAGAAGCTACGTGAGCCCATCTGTCCCGAGACGGCAACGATATACGCCCCGAGCTTCGACCACGCGCGAAAAGACCCTGTTGAGAACGACATTGCCATTGCGCCCTCTGTCCGCATCGTCGTCTTCGAAGGCAACTACTGTACGCTGGACAGTTCGCCTTGGCGCGATGCCGCGCAGCTCATGGATGAGTTGTGGTTTGTCGACGTGGACTTCGAAGTCGCGCGTAAGCGGCTTATTCATCGTCATGTTAAGGCGGGGATTGCGAGGGATGAGGTGGAGGCGGCAAGGAGGGCGGATGAGAATGATCTTGTTAATGGGAGGGAGGTTGTGGAAAAGAGACTAAGTGTGCATGAGGTTATTACGAGTCGAGAGGATCCGGCGTGGGCGCCTGAGCAGCAGGGGGTAGGGGACGGAGAGGAGAGAGAGACGAAGC